TGTGCCTGTATAAAGGTTAAATTTCTTATGTTGGATATAAGTTTATTCTGAAAATTAGTGCGCTTATAAAGAGGTTGAGACTATATAGAGAGTGACTGTATGGAGGGAAGACTGTATTACATTATCAGTCGTTAAATTTGTAGTAAACTGTTTTGAATAGTGATTATTATTATTACTGAATTTAATTACGTATTGGCGCTATTTTAATAAATATTTGAATGAAAGTGAGGTATTTAGGTAAATTGAGATATCTCGCAGTCTAACGATCAAATTTGTGAAATATCTATGAGAGAAATTAGATATTAAAATTTATTACCAGATTTTAGTAATTATACTAGCTATAATAAATATTTTAAAGAACGATTATAATTTATAACTTATATTCATTTTATACAACTTTCATTATTTTAGGTTACATGAATTTAAATCATATTCTTACAATCATGTGGTATTCGAAATTTTATTTAGGTGGCAATTTTATCCAGGTTGTAAATATGGCATTTTCTGAGTCCTCTGGATCTCAGAGCTGGTAACTAAGATATCAAATTGATTTTTGGAATTAAGAGCAAAAGTACATTCCCTTATCAAGATCCTAAGTTATGCTTTTCAAGCTTTATACACATTATCTAAATATTGATTATAAAGGCTATTAATTCCTTAATGTCATTTGGTACACTATATGAATATTACTATCACATAATATTTCGTTAATATTGTTTAACTTTCAAATTTGGTAGGATAAATAAAAAAAAATTCATCTAAAAAAATATAATAGAAGCAAGCATAAGTGCGTTTTAGGAGATTAAATACTGTAGAAGTTACAACTTATTCCCTCCATTAAATATTTTAGCATACGATTCTTCGATATTTTTAGGCAGACTTTGGATTTTTAGATTTCTCATTCCAATATTATTTTCATCATATTAATGTAACTCTACGATGCTTCTTTGTTAACAGTAGGCCCAAAAATTTCGTCATCTCATCTGTATATGAATGAATATCTTATCCTATGGTATATTTGTTTTCATATAAAACTTTTGGGAGCGATGTAAGGTTGGATTCCGTATCCCACATTCTTTTTAGTAAAATCCGCGATGTTTACACATTATCGCTATGTAAGTTGATCGCTTTGAGATCAAAGTTATGCTCAATAACATGCTTAACTTCCAATTTCATTAGTGATTTTAAATGAAATTTTTTACATAAAACACCGAGCACTGAATATTTTAGAAAAGAATATACTGTTCTTTTTTTGTTTATTGGTATTCCATATTATTTAAAAATGAAGGACTTTTGTATTAATATCACAATTTTCATTGCAGTAAGCTTTATAGCTTTTAAAAATTTGGTTAATAAAAATATACGATGCAAATAATAATAATAATAATAATATAAAAAAATAATGAAATAATCATTATCATGAAATTTTTCAAGAGAAAAATTGTATGAAAGTTTTTGTTTTTTCGTCTGCCTCGCTTGTACACAGCAGCAAAGCCAATTTTATTAATATCTTAAAAAAAAATCAACAAATCAAATGATATTCCTTATCATTTAGTGGTAATTTTATATTATTATCTATAACTAGCTGTTTGTCTTTACTTGCGAATGGTTGCATGACACAATTAAAGAATTTGTTAATATATCAACGTGAAATAATGTATGCAAAGCCTGTTATTAGTATTCCGCACAGTGCTCTGTCCAGGTTTTGTGCCATATCGGTGAGACTGCGAAACCATGTATCATCAAAATCTGTCATTTATCCAGAACCGACTATGAGATAAGAATTTTCACTAACTGATGCAAGTAAATGAATTTAGCCGTCATTAAATGAAAATTTTGACTACTTATATTAACGTTCCAATCAAATAAATAAGTCCAAATGGACCGTTTAGTTACACTATGGTCCGACAACTAAGGTTTTGCCTGGTTTTTAGAGCTAATGTTTGATTTCAGGAGAATCCTATAAATCTATGTACATGACTACGACGTCGAACTTAAAATACGATAAGTTAAAAGCTTATAAGAGTTTTTTTAGAATCTAAAATCACCTTAAACGTTTTGATAGTTTGTTTATTACTGTTTTTTTTTGCATTCAGTACTTGTATATAGCCAATAAAGAGGTAGTTATAGTAATAAATAACGAAATATTCACTTCTATGTAAGTACTTGAGGTTGCTGATTTTTTTAATTATTTTTGCACAGTGAATATAGACGTTCTCTCGAAGCTAGAAATGGCTTTTACAATGATTTTTTGATAATGAAACGTTACGTTCTCTAAAAGTACTTTAAACTGTATAAATAAGTTACCCGGGCAATTGATTTACATCAACCAATCATACGAAAGTTTTCCTATGGATGTTATGCACTGTCATGTTACCCATGTTATGTTTAGAGTTGGTGGTGCAGTAGTGATGCACCACGTATATACCAAAAGATCTTCTGCACCTGACGGTGCACGATTGTATTACTTCTTCATATATATCTATCTTTTGTTTTACCTCCGATAAAGACATAGTTTCGCCACTTTTTAGCTTGTTAAGTTCGTATTTTGTGTTCATTCACTGTCTACATCGGGAGCTTTCGAGTTCAGTTAATTAATATTATATTTCTTACAATTAACCCTATTGCGATAAGTTACTTTTAATATTGTTAAGTTGAAAAATTTACGCACGTATGTATTACATTAGGGATGCCGTATTGTCCGGTCCTGAACTAGTTAGAAACCGGTTCATAACCCAGTGGCTTTAATATACAATATTTATAATTTTTTATAATTTTGAAATTTTGTATTATACGGCTAAAAAAAGGGACAATACCAAAACAACCAATCAGAATACCTAACCCAATTAAAAAAACCTTATACTTCCTTAAATTAAGGCAATTTAAAATTATTGTTCTTGATTTAAGTTTTATTAAATTTCTTTCGAAGTGTCAAAATGACATTCAATTCATATCATGTAATTATCTGGACTAGGTTCTGGATGGCTCCTAAAAAGTCCAGTCTAGAACCGGTCCGGTCCGGACGGTGGACCACTTAACATCCCTATATTACATGCTCATTTATATAAAATAAATTTAAATATGATTGGCTCGCCATATTTGCACCATACCTACGTTAGCATGCCAGCTGGTGCACCAATTTGGGTGCACCATTGGCGTCGCACCACTAATTCTAATAATGTTACACGGTTTCTAAATTCGATCGTAGTTCCATATTCGAATTTTAGACGCACGGTTTCACAGTCAAATTAATATTTGATACGTATATTAACTGTTAATATATGTACTGTACGTACGATAAGTTTGATAAGCCATAATCGTTAGGATTAATACGAAATTTTTAATCATTTATTTCTTCTAACATAGTAATATTGGAAATAAATTACTTTACCAGTAAAACTTCATTTTTGATAACTCATTAAAAAATTAGATTACATTATTGTATTGAAATTGTCAGGATGTTCTTAAGAAATGACCAAGAAATTGAAGAAATCCAACATCATAAATGATAAAATTCCTCAACAAGAAAATGCAATTATAATTATTGGGGATACAGGAGAGGGAAAAAGTACATTATCGGGTTATTTAATTGGAATTCCCTTGTTCAGTAAAGAAGATGACCTTGGAGACTATACTATTTGTGCTAAAGATCCAAATGAAATTGATATTAATGCTGGACCTACTTCACAGACCTCTTTACCAACATGCCGAGGAGTATACTGGGATTATCCTGGTTTTGGAGACACACGAGGTCCTGTACAAAATATTGTGAATGCTTATTCAATTTATAAGTTAGTTAAAAATGTAGAAAGATTAAAAATCTTACTCGTTGTTTCTGAATCTACAGTACAATTAGAAGCACAAGAAAAAAAGAGCTCTTAAATCTTATTAATAATTTAGGTGAAACTTTTAAAAACACTGATGAATTGGTTCAGGGATTGTGCTTAGTAGTAACAAAAAATAATAAACTCTATGCTAATAAAGTAAGAAATTGTTTCCGTAAAATCCTTGGAGAATATGATAATCAAAGTTTCAGTCAACCTAAGAGAGAAATACTCAATTATTTGTCCTCTTCTGAAAGTCAAATAGTTTTTTTCAATGCTCCTGAACAAGAAAATGACCAAATTTCTAATACCGACAAAATTTCAATATTGGAGAGTATAGAAAAGATTTCTTATTTGAAAAATCTAGAACCTAAAATTTTATTGGATGATAAATCAAACCTTTATATTAACGACCTAGTCAATAGGTTCTATGAAGACATAAAAAATTACATTTGGTTAAGGTTTTATCCAGCGATTCAAACCTACTTTGAAACTTTAATAGATACACATCAAGGCACAGTTAAAGATTTGTGAAATTTATTAATTGACTTTTCGAATAAACTTAAAAGGATATATGATAATCCAGAAAACTTTGAAGAAAATCTTCAACAAATTCTTTTAATCGTTAAACTTATACAAAGAAATGATCTCGAAGAAGAACTTTTGAAAAAAATTTCTTTGTTAAATTTCTTCAAACTTGTCAAGTCGGAGTCAGTTGAAATTAATGGAAATACTGACAGTTGGTATAGTTATTTATCTCAATTGATTAATGAGATAGAGATACTTACAACGTTGCCTAAAATATATAATCAAGAACATTTATTAGTACTGGAAGGCATAATTGTTGGTACTGAAGATCTTAGTATTGCGATGAATGATCAAGAATTTTCCGAAATAAATGTATTTAGCTTGAATAGTTTGTTTATTGACAAGGATATAATTGCACCAGGAATTAATCTGACGTTGGTATCTCCTCAGTGGCATGTTGTAGGTAAAAGAATAATTAATTTAAAGGGTAACCCTGGCTCCTTACATCAACCAAATAAAGCAAATGATGGAATACCTTCTACTAGAGAACAAATTAATGATGGAATACCTTCTACTAGAGAACAAATTAATGATGGAATGCCTTCTACTAGAGAACAAATTAATGATGGAATACCTTCTACTGGAGAACAAATTAATGATGGAATACCTTCTACTAGAGAACAAATTAATGATGATAAACAAATTAACAGTGATGATGATAAACAAATTAACAATGATGATGAAAAACAAATTAACAATGATGATGAAAAACAAATTAACAATGATGATGATAAACAAATTAACAATGATAAACAAATTAATGATGATGATGATGATGAACAAATTAACGATGATAACGATAAACAAATTAGCGATAAAGCAAATTACGAAATAACATCCATTGAAGAACAAAAAATTAGTGGCGAAGATGGACTGCCTGGACTACCTGGATATAATGGTGGAAATTTTTATGGTAAAGGGAATAAATTTTTTAATTTTTCTTCTTTAACCATTGATGTTAGTGGTGGTGATGGTGGTCAAGGTCAAGATGGCGGAAATGGTGCTGATGGATTTGATGGTGATGATTGTATTGGTGAAGATCGTGTAAAAAATAAAAGTGAGCAAGCACTTGTATCAAGAAAAAAAGTAAAATTCTTTTCAGATAAAGAAAATACAGAAACTATTGATAAAGTAAAAGAATATTCTGAAAAAGTTTTTAAATTTTTGTTAACATGTAATGATAAGCATGAAGAAACATATGAGTATTTTGATCCAGGACTAAAAGGAGGAAATGGTGGCTGAGGAGGAATAGGCGGTATCGGTGAAAAACCTGGCACTGTATTATTTGAAAGTTCATCAAAAATTTTAGAAAATCCTATTATATTTAAAGAAAGTAAAAGAGGTACAAATGGAAAGGGAGGAAAGCCAGGTCATGGTGGAAAAAATGGTCAAAAATATTTTGGTGTATATATTAATGAAAGATTTTTTCCTGCATTAAGAGGCATTAAAGAATTTGATAATGAACCAACTAAAAAAGATGGGATGGCGGAGGCAATACGAGTAGCAGGAGTAGCAGCATCACCAACAGCATCAGCAGGAATCACAGGCACTGTTGTAGGAGCTATGGAAGCTTCAAAAATGACTTTTTTAGAAAAATTTTTAATTGATTATGGTTTTAAAGAAGCAACTCAAAAATTAGCATTTAGTACTTCTGGAGCCTTGGGAAGCCTCGGTATAACCTTTGCAGCTCAGGCAGGAATATCAGCAATAAGTGCGAAATATTCAAGTTATTGGAAAGAAGGACCATATGAAGTAGATAATGATGAACGTGCTCCTGAAGGAAAATTGCTTGATGAGTTCAATGAGGATAATATTAAACTACCATCTGACCACCTTCTACTTATAACAGAAAACGAAAAATTTTATGATCAATACAAAAATTTTAAATTTATTAAGGAGCTGCTATGTTTAGAAAAAATTGCTTATTAAAATAATGTCTACGCAATTTTATGAAGATAACAATATCTATTATTTTATATTCTATTAATATTATCTATTAATATTTGCTTTCTTTATTATATGTTCAATTAACAAAATCTATTATTATACGTATTATTATTCAACATATGCTCATATTTTTAGCTTTAATTTCATAAAAATATAACAAATTTCTATTATTATGTTCTATTAGCATTTATCGAAATTTGCATTTTTTAACTCTAATTTTATAAAAAAGGAGTTATAAATTTGTAACCTGACTACTGTAACCGTTGCTATATTCGTATAACATATTAATAATCAATTATAATAATAATTATGTTATTTGTTTATGAAATAAAGTTACAATATATATTAAATTATAAAAATTACATTAACCGTCGTTAAATTTGTGGAAAACTATTTTAAATAACAATAAATCAATGGGTTCTTTCTTATTAATAAATTAAATTCCCGAAATAAACAGAGCGGGCCAATAGGATGAAGTGAGGTATTTGGGCAAATCGAGTATCTCGCAGTTAGTGATTAAATTATGAAATATCTATGAAAAAATTAAATAAAATAATGAAAACGAAGGAACGTTGTATATAAGCTTATAATAAAGAATGGAATTAAAATGCTCTTTAAAATATTTTATTATAGCTGGTATAATTGCTCAAAATCTGGTAATAAATCTTAATACTGCAACATAGTTTATACATAATCTTACAGTCGAAATTTTTTTTGGGTAGTAATTTTATCCAGGTCGTAAAATAGACTATTTTCCGAGTCCTCAGGGCTTAGAGCTGGTAATTAAACTTACAACCAGATACTAAAATGATTTTTGGAAGATCCCTAAATTAAGCTTTTCAAGTATTATACACGTTATCTAAATATTGGTTATAAAGATTTAGTTATATTTCGCTAATACTGTTTTATCTGTCAAATTTGGCAGGATATATAAAAAAACTTTATCTAAAAAATATAATAGAAGCAAGTATAAGCGAGTTTTAGGAGATTAAATTGTAACTGTTAAATATATGCCCCATCCATCAAATATATTAGCATACGATTCTTCGATATTTTCAGGTAAGGCTTTGGATTTGTTTAACTCAAATAAAATGTTTTTGTTGCATTGCCATTCCTTAAATTTTGAAAGTTTTTCAACCGATGGTTGATTTTTAGATTTTTTATTCCAACGTTTTTTCATCAAATTAATGTAACATTACGACCGTAAGTCCGACGATTTTGTCATCTCATATGTATATGAATATAGGATCGATTATCTCATATAAGATTTCCAACACGATTATTCCAAAATGAATATCCGATCATGTGGTATATTTGCTTCCATCTAAAACTTTTGGAGTGATGTAAGGTAGGATTCCGTAAACTTTTTATTCAAATCGCAATGTTTACACTGTGTAAATCGTCTTGTAAGATATTATTGTTATGCAAATTTCGGTGAATAAGATTTTGGAACGGATCACTTTGCGATCAAAAGCTATTCTTAATAATAGGTTTAACTTCCCATTTCATTAACGATATTAAATGAAATTTTTACATAAAACACTGAGCACTGAATATTTTATGAAAAGGATATATTTTTCTTTTTTGTTTCTTGGTATTCATATTATTTTAAAAATGAAGGACTTTTATACGTATTAATATCACAGTTTATATTACAGTAAGATTTAGCATTAAAAACTTAGGTAACAAAAATATACGATGCAAAAAAAATAATAATAATAAAATAATATCAATAAAATAATAAATAAAGAAAATTAAGTAATCTCATTGAAATAATCATTATCATAAAATTTTTCAAAGCAGAATTGTATAAAAGTGTTTGTCATTTTCTTCTACCTCATTTGTCTTAATATTTTGAAAAAAAATCAACAAACTAATTGATATTCCTTATTATCTAGATATAGCTGTTTATCGTGACTTTCGAATGGTTGCATGACACCATTAAAAGAATTTGCTAATATATAAACGTGAAAATAATGCATGCAAAGCCTGTTATTAGTGTTCCGCACCGACCCCGATCCAGGTTTTGAGCCACACCGGCGAGGCTGATCCAGAACCCGACTATGAAATAGGAATATTACTAACCGATTCAAATAAACTTTCATTAAATTAAAATTTGACTACTAATATATGTTACTAGATTTTGACAATCTCATAATATCCTGCTTCATCCTTCTATTAAATTTCAGCTTTTGTTAAGTTTAATAATGATCAGTTTCTTGGCAAAATCGAATTGGTTCAATAGATTAACGTTCCAATCAAACAAATAAGTCAAGATGGACCATCTAGTTACACTATGGTCCGACAACTAAGGTTTACCTAATTTTTAGAGCTAGCGTTTGATTTCAGGAAAATCCTATAAATTTATGCAAATAAGTCAATTAAAGGGAAAAAGAAAATTATTTCTTATTTGTTGGAAATCTATACCGTAATTTATATAAATTTATTGTCATCGTTATCGAATTTTCGAATGAAGAAATTACGTAATCAAGCGCCAAAATATATTAGGCGGCCTGCATAAGATTTTCAGGTCACATTTCTGACATATACTGTATAAGTATTTCCCGCACGACATACGTACTGTATATTCAAATACTATACTTCTTACCTACCATGAAAGAAATACCGAACGAGTGTATTTACGCAATTTTTAATAATTTTGCAAACGATAGCAAAAGTTTATTCTCATGTTGTCTTGTTAATCGTCTTTGGTGTCTAAACGCAATACCAATATTATGGAGCAATCCATTACAAAGAAACGTTTCCAAATCACTTGTACGAACATACCTTTCAACATTATCTCCTGAAGAAAAGAAACCACTTATCTCATTTGGTATAACGCTTCCCAACACCTCAAAACCATTATTTGAATATGGAACTTTCTTAAATGTTCTTGATACTAGTTCATCCAAAAATGGTGTAGAGATGTGGCTTAAATGCGAAGGTTTTATTGAACGTTGTAATGATAAAGAAATGTTGACGTTAGCATATAATATTATTATGGAATCTTTGATTACAATGTTTCTTCAAAGAAGTGAAAATCTTGAAGAATTATTAATCAATGATCAACTTATGTTTCCAACAGTATCAACATTCTTGAACGCTATACCAGGAATATCACAATTAAAAACATTACGGGTTAAGTTAGATCTTACTAACACGAACATATTGGAATTTATGAATTCATTAACACCTAAAGCATGTCCCTATCTTAAACAACTCAATATTAAATCTTATTTACCTAATGATGAAAGTGATGCACTCGTAAATATGATAAAATCGCACAAAAAATTTGAAAAAATAGAGCTTGATACTTATATTATAGGTAGGAGCGTTGTTGTATATGAGATTTCAAATTTGGCAAGTGAAAGAACAGGTTAGTTAAGAATGCATATCAAGAAAGGTTTTTGTTAAATTAACTTTTTTACTGATTTGATGTCTTATTAGTTAAGGATTTTTTTTTATTCTGTGGACGAATTGACGAATTTAAACTTATAAAGTATGTTTAATTTCATAATTTAACATATATTTTACATATTTTAAATTACATATCCCAAAATTTATATTAATTATACAGGAGTGAAAGGGATAGCAAACAAATTGCCTACATCACCTTTAAGAAAGGTATTTATAACAATAACCATGAATATGCATATTTTTCATTTGAAAATTTAAGGTCATAACATGCCTTCTTTATAATAGAGAATGCAGCAAAAACTGCTATAATGCTAACAAATGCTATTATTGGTGATTCAGCAATTCTCGTCAAATATGCTGAAGTATCAGGTTATATTAAGATTTTTTCAGCATTAAAATATGTTGGGAATTCCTTAAAAGAGCTTATATTACAGTATATGAATTTTTCGAAAATTTCACCAGATAATATAGAAAATATTTCCAAATGTCAGAATTTAGTTAGAATTAATTTCTATAAATGTCAAAAAATGACATTAACACATTGCACTTCATTATCTAAGAACAATTTGAATTTAAAAAAATTAGAAATTATAGGTTTAAGCTTCGATCAAATTGTTATGACCACTTTAATTTCTATGTGGGGATCAACTTTGGAAGTTTTACATCTGGATGAATTAAGCCAAGAAACTGCAAATGCACTATTAATTCATTGTTCAAATCTTAAAGAATTAGCTATTAATACTTTATATGCAAACTCTCTCAAATTTATTCATCCTTTCCTTCAGCAATCATCTCTTAAATCTTTCATTATTAATACGCATGGCACATTTCCCAAGGAATGTTTTGATTTAGTTCCAAATTTACCATCCACTTTGACTTTTTTGGGATTATATACTGATTTTAATAGCCGAAAATTTAAAAAATTTGTAAAATATTGTGAAAAATTTGTCGAATTGAAAGCATTAAATATTAAGCGTCTTAGATTTGTAGATGAAAATTTTGGTAATCCATAGAAATTTGAAAATTATGATAATATCGAATACTTTACCATTTTACTGTATCTTTTCATTATTATGCAATATTAAATAAATCAAATTTATAAGCCTTACAACTACTTTTTTTAAAAAATATATAAATATTATTTTATATATGTTAAACTTTTAGTAGGAGGTAGATTTAAGAAGAGTTAACCCAGTGATCATAACAATATTACATGATTATTATTCAGTTAGGTTATGGGCATAGTTTAGGCTTGTCTATTTAATTTTGGTAAACAAACGACGTCATGATATGTTATCAAATGATTGTTGATTACTGGGTTAACTGTTCTTAAAGTATCCCGAGTCCTCATGATAAATTTGTGCATACAAGTGAATCTTGATATAAGAAAGTTGCCGGGTCTAGTCAAAACCTTTCTTATATCAAGAGCTTTTTATTATAGAATTTTTAATTGGGACTTGCAAAAATCTTTCTTATATCGAGAGTTTCTATATCGAAGGTTTCTTATATCAAGAGTTACTTGTAGTACAAATTTTTTTACTGTTCGTTATTATAAATTTTTTTGC